TATATATATATATATATATATATATCACTACACTATTGGCAACAGACAACAGCCTTTTTTTCGTCCATGAAATTTTGGCAGAATGCTGCAAATGTGATCACAACTTAAATGTCTGTGTATGTTTATAAACTTACATTTAAGTAGCGAACATCCAATTCCACTTTTTTCTCCAGTTCTGTGAGCAGTTCATTGTGGAATGATTTCAGCTGAAAATTACAGTAGACAAACACAGTTTATATTATAAACACAAGCAGTACAGTACAACAGAACAGCAATTTTCCTCTTATATGACAAATGAATTCTGCATTTGATTACACATTTCACACACCAAACTCAGTCGCTAACACTAGCCAAAATATCCTTACAGAGCTAAAACTGATGTCCTATCCATAATGTACTCGCTAACAGACCTTTACTCCAGTTTCTACCCCGTTATCATTTTCAGAAGGACTCAGATACGGTTTGTTTAACATCTGCAGCTGTGTAACACAGCACAGGAAAGTCTGTGCTCTGTCTGAGGTGGTGTTTACATGCATGTGATCGTGGACTATTGCCCTTCATGTATATATGGAAGTGTCTGAGTCGATGTGACCTTTTGAGATGCCACTCCCTTCCATTTCCTTACCCTGGAGGCTAATGGAGCTTCTTCGATACAGCCTGATTGACTCAGTCATGTTGTGAGAAAATGTAATGAGAAAATTTGAGCCTATGAGGCAATATGATCTTCATCAAGTTAATGATACTCACCATGTCCTCTAGCTGCATCTGGATCTGTCTGTGAACCTCCGCCATCTGAAAAAGCACATCCCCTTAAGAGAGAGAGATAGAAAGAGGAAATAGATTAAATTGTCACTGTAATACTTTTGCACCTGATATCAGGACACCATGCAGTCTGACAAGGGTGCAGGGAAGAGAAAAAAGGAGGTAGAGAGAAAAATAAAAACAAATGATGAACAAGATGGGCTGTCAGTCAAGCAAAAGGTGCAAGAAAGTACCTGATGAACACAATACAGTAAATTAAATAAAAACACCATAAAATATCAAATCATATTGTTTAATAATAAATAAATAAAAGATCACACAGAAAAAAAGTTATATTAAAATATTCTTCCAAGATGCATACCAAACAAAATAAAACAAAGTATTCAATGGAAACAGTAAAAGCATATTGCAAGTGCATGTTTAATAAACATGAGAAAACAAATCAGAAAACGTCAAAAGATGCCAAAAAGAAAATGTTGTTAGCACACAATTTTCTAATTTCAACATCATTTTGTGGTACAAGAGAGA